GCGGGAGCACGAGGATGACGGCGCGCTGGCGCTGCGCGCGGCGCGCGGGTTGAGGTCGGGCGGCAAAGGAACGGATGGTGGGACCGGAGCTCGTTGGGCCGCCTTGGGGCTGTCTTGGGTTTCGGAGGCACCCGGGGCCGTCTTCGACTGTCTGATTCTTTGAAGGGCGCGAAGGTCATGGAACAATTTTATAGGATATCAGTGATTTGGGATAGCAGGAGAACGGGAGGGAGCAGGAGTGGCATGGCATACCTTTGTACTGGACCCATGTTGATGGCGCATCATACCTCCCAGATAGTGCCGGAAGCAGGAGCGGGCCCACATGATCGCGCCCTGCGTTTGCTGATGGCTTGACAGACTATTTGCGCTGATCACATTTTTAATCTTCAGATTTGTTGAAGGGGAGGTAAAATACGTCCAGGCGGTGCACAGTTTGCAGACAATCGTCGACACCAGCGGAAGGGCTCGCAACTGTGACAGGCAATGTGAGGAACGCTAATCACTTGATCGACGATTTAACACGTCATCAGTTTCTCGGCTTGGCTTCAGCTTGTCATGATTTGTAGTGCGCGTATGCATATATACATATATATATATATATATATATCTCCGTAAGGGCTTCGCCCCCTGCCGCCGGCCCCCTCTCTCGGAGAATGGGCCATGGAAGAGCTAAGTCATGAGGCTTTGGCGCTGTCGTGCAGCAGTATCGGAACTTCATGCGAGGCCGATTCGCAATCGGCAAAACCAACTGATCACAAGAGGGGTTACCACACAGGGCGATTGGTAAGACGTGTATGGTTTACGAGCTTGGTTACCACACCTTGGGATTAAAGGGCCGAGGGAGTACTCGCAGTTTGGGTTACCACGCCTTGCGATGGATGTGCGTGAGGGGTGGCACCGAATTTCAGAAATGTGGCAAATCCAATGTGTTTTTGGACCCTGCGTGAGGGGTGGCCCCGAATTTCAGAAATGTGGCAAATCCCCTGTGTTTTTGGACCCTGACCCCGCGGATCTGCGTGAGGGGTGGCACCGAATTTCAGAAATGTGGCAAATCCCTTGTGTTTTTGGACCCTGACCCCGCGGATCTGCGTGAGGGGTGGCACCGAATTTCAGAAATGTGGCAAATCCCATGTGTTTTTGGACCCTGACCCCGCGGATCTGCGTGAGGGGTGGCACCGAATTTCAGAAATGTGGCAAATCCCATGTGTTTTTGGACCCTGACCCCGCGGATCTGCGTGAGGGGTGGCACCGAATTTCAGAAATCTGGCAATCCCTTGTGTTTTTGGACCCTGACCCCGCGGATCTGCGTGAGTGGTGGCACCGGATTTCAGAAATGTGGCAAATCCCTTGTGTTTTTGGACCCTGACCCCGCGGACCTGCGTGAGGGGTGGCACCGAATTTGAGAAATGTAGCAAATCCCTTGTGTTTTTGGACCCTGGCCCGCGGATCTGCGTGAGGGGTGGCACCGAATTTCAGAAATGTAGGCAAATCCCCTGTGTTTTTGGACCCTGACCCCGCGGATCTGCGTGAGGGGTGTCGATTTCGAGCCCCCCCAGCAATTCAGACAACGCGCCCAGGGGGTGCTAAAAAATCCCGTTTGGGCCTCCCCCCCCTTCGCGCGGTCAATCAACTAGTTACAGTAACCAGCAAGAAGCAGAACTGTAACACTGGAAACTACAAACTACAACTGGTACAGGAAACTGCGAATCACGGGCCTACAGCCTGGTGGCCCCACAAGGGGGCCGGCGGATATATATATATATATATATATACACATATATGTATACATATATGTATACATATATATATATATATATATGGACGTATATGTATGTAGTTCTAGGGCATCTGTATGCACCTACGTGCATCTCGATTGATCTGATCGTATATCTATAAACATTCGTAGTCCCCAAACAGTGCTTGCCCTTGCGGGCTCTTACCTATGCTCGCAGGCGCTGGGCCGTGGGGTCGGTCTGGTGGCTATGTCCCCGCCGTTGCCGCCCCGTCGCCGGCCGACTCGTCGCCGTCCGTCGCTTGGGCCGTGTCGGCTATGTTCTCCTCCCCCTCCCCCTCCCCCTCCCCCTCCCCCTCCCCCCCCCTCCCCCTCCCCTCCTCTCCTCCTCCTCCTCCTCCTCCTCCTCCCTCTTCCTCCTCCTTCCCTCCCCCCTCCTCCTCCTCCTCCTCCTCCTCCCTCCCCTCCTCCTCCTCTCAACCGCCGTCGCCGCCAAGGGCAAGTCGCCGCCCGTCACCGTCTGTCGCCGTCGTTGAAATGCAGCGCATAGATTGCACTGCACTTTTTTTCCGCTCCCGCTGCGCGCTGCTCGATCGCTCACAGCACAGATCGCACAACGTAGGTTGCACAACATATAGTGCGCAACACACACCGCAGCACATAGACGGCACACTTTTTTATGTTCGCGCCCGCGGCCGGCTTTTTGATCGCTCACAACACTTCTTCCATTACATTTTTTGGAACACATGATTAGAGTGCACGGCATAGGTTGCGCAAGATAGGTTGCACAACAAAGGTTCTCTTTTCTAAAGAGAATATGTTCTACCCCCCCCTCAGATTATCCGTTCCCCTTCGTCCATCCTGAATATGAGTTCGGACCATCTCAGGAGGGCCAGTACCGACTCCCCCCGCCATCCCTTGCAAAAAGTACAATGCGCGCGCAGTCGTTTATTACACGTCGTCGTCAGTTTTCAGGCATTCGTAGCGAAACATAGGGCGAAGTGCACACGCGCGCGTTGTCGCGCGCGCATGCCGAAATCTGGCAAAAACTTAAGGTTTCGAAAGTATTCCAACACCGAGTGTCCAACAAACATGCAAAACAACACATGGTTTCGCAACACTGATTTTCAAGCAAAAACTTGCTCGCGCGCGCGCCCTTGCGAATTCTTAGGAAATCCATGGTTCTTCATGATTTTCATAAAATGCTATCAAACGGGCTTCGCGCGCGCATGCCGAAATCGTTCGAACGCCCTTGCGCGCGTGCTGTCGCAATAATCCTTTGCAACGCATGGGACGAACTGCGCACGCGCGCGTCGTCGCGCGCGCATGCCGAAATCAGTCAACAGGCTTCGGTGTCGTAAGGCTTTCAAGACCGAGTGTCCAAAACACGAACAACACCACATGGTTTCGCAACACCATTTCTCAAAAATGACCTGCTCTCGCGCTCTCTTGCTGATCCTCAAGCAAACCATCGTGTTTTTTTCAACCTTTTCATGGACTTCTGCCAGGAAAGGGGCCTCTCGCGTCGCAAATTCCGAAGTCCTTCGAGCGCCCCTGCGCGCGCGTGCTGCTGGGGCACGACCCGTGCCACATAACGTCATGCGGCTACTCTCGCGCGCCGGCCGCGCGCGCATGTCGAAGTCCTTCCAAAACCTTCATCACCGACGCGAGACGGCCGTCATCGTCGTCGGTGTGATCAGCATCGGCGCCGTCATTTGGCCTTGCCGTCGTCATCGCTACCTTCGTCACCATCGCTGCTTTCATAATCGTGTCTACCTCTGTCGGCGTCGCCACGACACCGCGCCCGCCCAAGCAACCGAGTCGCAAGCGGTCAGCGCCACCGCGGCCGCGTCCGTCGCGCCAAGCTAGCTGGCCGCTGTGCGAGCGAGCATGCGCGGGCTAGCGCGGCCGCGCTGATGCACCAGCTAGCGCCGCGCACTCATCGCAATCGCCGCCGCATGGGTTTTGCAAACCAAGTTGCAGGTGGGTGGGTGGGGTGTTTTCAAGTGCATGGGAGGTGGCCAGGCGTGTTGCAGGGTAATTAGTCAATTACACAGCATGTATAGCACCATACATACCGCAACACAGAGCTGGCACGTGTTTTTTTCTTTTTGTTCGCGCCTGCGGCGCGCTTCCCGTCGTTCACAACATGTACTGCATTACGTAGAGTGCGCAACGTTTTGCGCCACATAGATTGCACAACGGTTATGGCAAACCACATATTGCAGTATTTAGACTGCACCATCTTCATTGTGCAGCAAACATTGCGCCACATAGGGGCACAACATACAATGCACAACGTCGGTTGCTTTACGTATTTTGCACCACGTGTTGCATCACGTATATTGCTCCACACCTATTGCTAAACAGCTGTTGCACCGCATCTAATACACCACACATGCTGCACAAAATGTTTGCACATCCGCGTATATACATATGTACATATGAAATTATGTATGTATGTCTATATATATACATGTATTTCAAATATTGCACATCATGTATCGCGACATGTTGATTGCTTCACATCGATTGGATTGCACAACGCAGATTGCACCACATAGCGTGCGCAAAATAGATGACACACCATAGAATGTACAACGCAGTTTGCACCACAGGGGCTGCACCACATATATTGCTCCACGTAGACTGTACGCCATACATCGTACCTCGTAGATCGCACCATGTATCTGCACAAAAAGGTTGCGCGACATACATTGCACCACATGGGTCGTACTTCGGTTGCTGCTAGATTCACACTGTTTTGGGTCCACGCTGGCTAGAACATGTCATGTCACACAGTCTAGTTAGATTAACCTATTATTTCACATTGGTATATGTATATTGACACAGCTGTATGTCTATATGTGTATGTACGAATGAATATACGGATGTATAGATGCATGGATGCATGTATAGATGGATGTATTTATGTTTGTCTGTCTTTCTGTCTGTATGTATGTATATGTATATATATATACGTCGGTATGTGTCTGGCTGTATGTATACATGCATGCAGGGATGTCTGTAGGTATGCATGCATGCATGTATATATGCATGTATGTGTATGCATGTATGTATGCATGTATCTTTGTAGGGATTTATGTATGTATGCATACATGTGTGCATACATGCATGCATGTATGTACGTATGTAAGCATGCATGGATGTATGTGTGTATGCATGCATGTATGTATGTATGTATGTATGTATGTATGTATATATTCATGTAGTGTAAAGTAATGCCATGTAAGTTAATGCAATGTAGTGTAATGTACTGTAATGTAGTGTGCCCGGATGCCCAGAAGTTGCGTCGCCAATTTCGGCGGCCCGCCCGGATGCCGGGGTGCCCGGGTGCCCGGGTGTCGGGGTGCCCCACAGCCCTATAGCCCCATAGCCCCATAGGCTCATGTTGTTTCCAGTGTTTTTGGTGATGATTATGATGCTGCTGCCGATGATGGTGATGACGCTGATGATGCTGATGATGATGATGATGCTGATGCTGATGCTGGTGATGATGATGATGCTGACGATGATGATGATGATGATGATGATGGTGCTGATGCTGATTCTGATGCTGCTGCTGCTGTTCTTGCTGCTGCTGCTGCTGATGATGATGATGATGATACTGATGATGCTGATGATGATGCTGATGATGATGATGATGATGATGCTGATGCTGCTGATGATGATGATGCTGATGATGATGATGATGGTGATGGTGATGGTGATGGTGATGATGATGATGCTGATGATGATGATGCTGATGCTGCTGATGATGATGATGATGATGATGATGATGATGATGATGATGATGATGGTGATGCTGATGATGATGATGATGATGATGATGACGATGCAACTGATGATGCTGATGATGCTGATGATGATGATGATGATGATGATGATGATGATGATGATGATGCTGCTGCTGCTGATGCTGCTGCTGCTGCTGCTGCTGCTGCTGCTGATGATGATGATGATGATGATGATGATGATGATGATGATCATCGTTGGGATATTGTGGGGGCCCTTTCGGGGGCTTGTTGGAGGCGGTTTCGAGGCTTCTTGGGGGCCGTTTGGCGGCCTTCTGGAGGCCTCTTGGGGGCCTCCTGGGGCTTCTTTGAGGCCTCTTGGGGTCTCGGGCCTCTTCGGGTGCAAGGCTGGAATTGTCGGTTCGTGCTCCCCGTCGTGGGCCTCTTTTATGGCCGCCTTGGGATTCTGTTGGGCTGATCTGGGCGCCTCTTACGCTGTTGTGGGGCTCTCTTGGGCCGTCACGTGACGCTCTTGGTGTTTTTTTGGGCCGCCTTGGGGCTGTTTTGGGGGCCTTGGGGCCGTCTTGGAGCGTCGGAAGCTTGCAAGTCGGATAGCGTGAACAACATAGGAACAACTTGCGAACATCATTGATCATTGCTTCTTGGGGCCTTCGTGGGACTCCTCTTGGAGCGCTTTCGGGGACTTCGTAGGGCCTCTTAGGCGGTCTTGGAGGCCATCTTGGCGGCCTTGGTGGCTTCCCATGTCCGTTTTGGGAGCCATCTTGGGGATAATGGACGCTTTGGAGACCGCCAGACAAAGCCTCGGGAAGAGGGGGCGGTGCGCTCGACGAGGTGCGACCTGGAGTGGGGCGGGGTCCCTTAGAACATTACAGAAACCCTACCTGACAGCATTGGACATTCTAGCACGCCTCAACGTACCAGGGGGCACGATGGCGCATATATATATATATACATATATAAATTTGTATACACACATGTATGTATGTATGTATGTATGTATGTATGTATGTATGTATGTATGTATGTATGTATGTATGTATGTATAGAATTCTAAACGCACATTCACGCACAGAAATGTGTAGGTGTGTGCGTATGCACACATTTACATACAAATGTATACATCGAGTGATAGAGGGGGCAAGAGAGAGAGAGAGAGAGAGAGAGAGATAGAGAGAGCGAGAGAGAGAGAAAGAGAAAGAGAGAGAGAGGCAGAGAGAGAGAAAAGGAGAGAAGGGGGGCCGGCGGGCCATGCACTTCCATATGGAACAGTTTCTTTATTATCTAAATGTGTGTATGTGTGTGTGAGTGTGTGTGGTCTTGTTTTGGACTTGTGCCGCGTGTGAGATAGCACATGTTGGCGTGGGTGAGCACGTGGATCCCGCGCGTCCCTGCTGTGATCGGGCTTCGTCCCGTGGCGCTCCAGTGCTGCCTCGCTCTGTCGCTGCCTCTGTCTCTGCCTCCTGCCGCTGCCTTTATGTCTGTCCGTCTATCTCTTATTCTCTCTCTCCTGCCACTGCTCGCTTACTGCACGAGCATGCTTTCGCCAGCGTCACTACCACTTTGTTTCGCTGCCAACCCGATTCCCGCCGGCCCCTGGCGCGGCTCGTCGGAGCCCGTCGGGGCAATTCGTGGCCATCGGCTTCCCGCCGGACCAGGCGAGCGCCCGCTCGGGTCCAGTTGGAGCAATTCGGCGCCAGCCGAACACCCACTCATCCAGCCAAGCGGGCCCTCGGTGCTCGTCGGGGCTCGTCGCAGCCAGTCCAGCTTCTCTCTCTGCACGGGGCAGTCCGTACACGCGGAGCGCGCAGCCCTCCATGCGAGCATCGTTTGTGAAATGGAGCGCTGGTAGTATTCATATCAAGTGTGGGTCCAAGCGCGAAACCTGAATATCACACCCAACACCCAGATCGTGGTCCTCTCCCCCTCTGGTGGAGGCGGCCCTCGATCTTGGCGTTGGTTCGAATCCGGGATGCCGAAATGGCTGCTCTGGGTCGTTCGGAGTCTTCTTGGGGCCCTCACTCAGCTCTTTCGGTCTCTCTCCGACTCCTCCGAAGCCTCTTGGAACCAACTTGAGCTCAGAGGCTCAGGAAGCGTAGAATAAGCAACCACCTGGTGACATGGTAGTGAGTTCTTTCAATGGACAGTGTCTTTTGTGAGGGCCTCGCGGCCTTCTTCAAGGTGTGCTGGGAGCCTCGTGTTCCCATTCATTGTACCCTTCTTGAGGGTGGTTCTTGAAGGCTTTGGGTCCCGAGTCGTCCCGTGTCCGGGGCCACTGCAGCTTTTGGTTCTGTCATTGCGGAGTTTCGTCGCGCACCGCTCTCCTCGGCTGCCCCTCGGCCTCCCCAGATCCTCTTGAGTTAAGAAAAGAGCACGGCTGCGGGTGGCGTGTTGAGACAATACTGGGCAATCTTTGTGGCCTCACACGGCCATCTTGGAAACCGTGGGAGGGCTTGGAGGGCACCAGGGGGGTGCGTCAGAGTCGCCCAGGGAGCCTTGGGAGAGGGGAGGCGTTGCATGCGGCTGAGCGCGATAAGGGAGTGGGGCTCCAGACAACGGTCATAAACTCAACCAGACAGCCCTTGGCATTCTACCACGCCATAATGTGCTAGGAGGTACGGGGGCGGACTGTGTCTGGCTTTTCCGATCACAAGTCTGTCTGGCACCTTGAACGGAATTCATCCCCCTCCAAGGCCCCGACGACGTTCCGCCTTAGGCTTCTTCTCTTCTGTACGCGCTGATGCAATACCATGCGGGCATTTCCGTCTCCTCCAACTTGCGTTCCCAGGTCGTTATCTTGTATTTTTGACGCCTTTGCGCACGTCCCCAGAAGGTTGCTTGTTTTGTGCGATGCCGTCCACAGTTGTTTGGCCTCTTGTGGGGTGTACGGATGCAAGTCGTGGGTGGACGGCGCAACACGCTGGCAGTGATGACGGCGGAACCATTCTCAAGGAGGGGCGTCTCTCGTGCCTCAGATCGTGCTGGTCGGAGCAGGGGAGGCCGACTGCCACGGCGCCTGCGGGTGGACATGACCAGGCGACGCACCACCGCAAGGGCGTGGAGAGCGTGGAGGGGGACGTGGGGGGGGGGATCGCCCGTTCAGTCTCCCATCCTTCGAGTAGGGGATCGATTACAGAACTCATTTACTCCAAGATTGATTTTCCCGCCCAGTAGGCAAGGAACGCAGCCTGTTCGTAGATCTACGGGTCACCCTACGTGCTTTTTCGTAGGTTCGGCGGGAAAAGTTATTTTTGGGGTGCAGTAGGGGCCCGACCAGAAGAAACCTTCCACAAGAAACCCAACCCTGAGACCCCAGGACGCCCATCGATTTCTGCCGTGGGAGCGTCGCGCTGTCCGTGGCAAAACCACCGACACCCAAGACGCCCGGGGCACCCTGGAGGCAAGCAGGGCGTTTCTTAGCATGGGTTTCCACTGTGCATCAATCGGCGGCACCCCAACATACTTCTACTATCTGTGCGGCGCGCCCCCAGGGGCGACGCGCGCACCGAGAAGTCTTGTAGTATATGCGCCGTGGCGGGCGCATTCTGGCCACACCGCTCGGGACATGATAACTACAAGATGGGTACTCCAGAATTCGTAATAAAGGGAGGGGGGTCTCATTTCGGGGGGGGGTCTCTTCCAGGCTATCTTGGAGGGCCTGGGGGGGTCTGGGGACGAGGTTTTGGAGGGTTCTCCCACCGGGGAGGTCTGAAATGGCTTGTCTTGGAGGGTCTAGACCCCCTCCCTTTTATTACGAAATCTGGAGTATATGGTCGGGTCGGGCGCGCGCCTCAGGGAGGACATATAGTATTAGCGCGCGTCTGTGCGCCCCAGCCAACTCTGCAGCCGATCCCCTGCCCGAGCCCTCGAGGCCCTCGAGCCCCCCGCGCGCGCTTTTTTTCCCTGCGCCCGCCCGCGGCGTGCGGCCGACGCGCCCCGGGTGCCCCCGCCTCGCTGGCCCTGCCCGGGGGGGGGGGGTCCCGCCAGCGCGGGGCCGGGCCCTCTGCCGCAGGGGCGCGGCGCCCTCCTCCTCCTCCCGCGCCCCCCAGAGCAGGGACGCGAGCAGGCCAGCAGCTGTTCCCCTCGCACTGACCCGAGGGATTCGTCTCGATCAGCGAGCCTCTCTTACGGGGCCACCTCGGAGCTCGCCCCCCTGAGCTTCGGGGTATGCCCCCTGCCCGCCCCGGGAGAAGATTGGGTTGCGCGGCGTAGTACGCAATCGCAGGGGATTTTGCTAGTCGCGCGCGCGGCTCCTTAGTAGGTGTTGACGTAGACCCCCTTATGCGGATGACCTGACCTGACCTCCCGGCCGCGCCAAGGCGGCAGAGGTGTGCGCTCCCGCGTCGTGCTCGGTGATCTGACCGGAGGACAGCACAACCCCCCCGCACCCCCCGCCAGGACCTGCACTACCGACCTTGCGATCCAGGGGATTCTGGCTGGGGGTGAGGTTGGTTTTTGGCTTCCGTCCGCCCCCCCCAGCACCCAGGTTTCCCTGGATGATCAGGTCGGGAGGTGGGGGTCCTGGCTGGGGTGGGGCCGGGTTGCGCTGTCCTCGTGTCCTCCGTCGTTCTTTGTCTTTCCGGCGGCCTTCCCATCCATCGTCTCTGCACGGGCAGTGCGCGTATGACTATGATATTACAATATGGCCACACAACTCCAAATCTATTGTTCTTGCTTTAGTTCCGAGCGCTGTCAGTTTTATGAAGTAATTTCCCAACATGTGCATGGATGCGCGGCGAATCGTTTTCAAATGTGGCTCTCGACCTAGCGTCGCACGCGATGCACTTTTACCACATGGATGGACGGCCGTTCTTTCTCGCAATGGCGCCCTCTCTTGAAACGCCTTCATATGTTATGACAGGCATATTGACTTAATGTAACCGTTACACGGACGAGCGGCTGTTCCATGCCAAACTTGGGTTTTTGCTTGTTGCTCCATCGGGGCTCAATGACAACAGTGTTCCAATTTCCCCACATTTTTACACACGGAGGGCGGATCCTTGTTCAGTACGTGGGTATCGCAAGGTACTCCCTTGCAGTTACCCTCGCCCCCCCTTTGCGTCGCATTTCCGATATCCAAAACAATCGAGGGCGGCCCTTTTTTAAAACGGTTTTTCTTTGTATATATATATATAATTGTGTGCATCTGAGACCTGAGAAACAACCCAATCATATTATTGTTGGGGCTATGGGGCTATGGGACTATAGGGCTATAAGGCTATGGGGCTACAGGGCTATATGGGCTATATGGCTATAGGGGGTATAGTGCTATAGGGCTATTGGGCTATTTGGGCTATAGGGGCTATCGGACTATAGGGCTATTGGGCTATAGGGCTGTAGGGTTAATAGGACTATAGGTCTATAGGGCTCTAGAGCTATAGGGCTCTAGGGCTCTAGGGCTATAGGGCCATAGAGCTATAGGGCTATAGGGCTATAGGGCTATAGGGCTATTGTGCTATAGGGCTATTGGGCTATATGGGCTATATGGGCTATATGGGCTATATGGGCTATAGGGCTATTTGCATAGAGCTAGAAGGCCATAGGGCTATATGGCTACAGGGTACGCGGGCATCTCCGGGCACCCCCGAGCAAACGGGCACCCGGGCACCCACGGGCACCCGGGCACCTGGGCACCCGGCCACCGAAATCTTGGGACACCGGGCGCCCAGAGGCACCAAGGCACCTGGGCACCCGGCCACCACCAATCCTAACCTTTTAGAATCCGCTAGGTCCGTTACAGAGGCAAGGTTTAATTGGGGACTAAATATATACATATATACACACTCCGAAGGGCAGGAGCGAGGTGGCGCCCGTCTCTGAAGGGGATGCCTGCGTAGTGCAGGCGTGTGTAGGGACTCGTGGGGAGGGGGTCAGGGACGGGATGGTGTACTGCATCGCCGCTGAGGCATCCTGGGTGTACTCTGGTCCTCCTACCCCTCCTCCTTCTCCGCCTTCAGCCCTCCTTCCTCCTCCACCTCCAGCTCTTCCTCCTCCTCCTCCGCCTCTAGCTCCTGCTCCGCCTCCAGCTCTTCCTCGTCTCCCTTTCTCGTACTGGTGTCGGCAGCTTGCCAGCATGGGGCCAAAGTAGCTGGGCTCCCCAGTTCACACCGAATTCCCGCTGCGTCAGCGATGCGTGGCGACCAGGAGTCCGATAGTCCTCCGCCCAGCATCGCCAATACACAACGGACGCATCGTCGACGCAGCGCGCTTTCCACCTACTCGCTCCCTCTTGCTTCTCATCCGCATTCTCCATCTCATCACCTCTTCCCCCCTCCCTCTCCTCCCCCTCCTCCCTTTTATTCCTTCATCTTCCTGATTTTTACACCCTCCCTATCCGCCTCCTCTTCCTCTCCGAGGACCCCTGGAACATTCCCGAAATCATCCGGAGCCTTCCGAAAGCATCCGAAGACCCCTCCAAAACTCTCTGGCCGTCCTTCGAATCTGGGGTTACCGAAAAGTGCCCGTGCCATTTTTGAGTTCATCCGCGAATTACTGGTACTGCTGCGTCTTGACGATCCTGAATCGTGCCAGAGCGCCATTCCTGAGAGTTCACCACCACGAACCAATGTGTCTGTGTTGCGCCCTGACAGTCCGACATCGTGCCAAAACACCGTTTTTGGGAGGTTAGCCATGCGAATCCTTGAAACTGCTGTACACTCTTGAAAAAGATGTACGCGGCACTAAGGCGAGAGTCACATGTTGAAAGCGTGAATCCGACCTGCCTGCTATCCGTGAAAGTCTTGCAGCTTTTTTTCAAGACGGATGAGCGCGGCGCTAAGGCGAGAGCAACATTTCGAAAACGATCCTCCCCCCATCCGTGAGACTTCGTGCTTTTAGACGACTGTGCGCGGTGCGAGGGCGAGAGCCACATTTTGAAAACGTGGAAACGACCTGCCCGCCATCCGTGAGGCCCTTGCATTTTTTTCAAGAGGAGTGCGCGGTGCGCCAAGGCGAGAGCCACATTTTGAAAACGTGATCGCCCCTGAATCCGTGAAGTTCCTGCAATGAATATATATATATATATATATATATATATATATATATATATGTATGTAAATGTATGTATGTAAACATTTGTATACATACATATAGATACATTTGTATATATATATATGTATATGTACATATACATATGTAGATCTATATCTATATGTGTACACATATTTATACATCTATATATATGTATATATATAGATATATACATAGGCGAATGTGCGCGGCGTTGAGGCGATATCAGCATTTTGAGGGCGGCCTGCTCTCTGTCCGTGAAGCTCTTCCAGCTTCTGCAGACGGACGTGCGCGGCGCCGAAGCAAGAGCCACGTGTTGAAAGCGACCCGCCTTTCACGCGTGAAGCTGCTGCAACTTGTGAGCTTCAGGGCCACGGAAGGTGAGGAAGTCTCTGGCAAAGCGCCCGGCCCGGCCCGCCATCTCGATTGGTTTCGAGGCGCGACATGGAGGAATTATTTGTGAGGACAAGGAACGAGGGAGCAGACGGGCAGGAGAGAAGGAAGGAAGGAAGGAATGAAGGAGCCGACCAGGACGAGGAGGATTAGGAGGTGGCTCTCGCGGATATGTATTCATGAGAGGTTCTCGGAGGTCTCTTGGAGTCATTTTAGGGTTCTTGGGGTCCTCGCGGGGCCTCTTGGGGCATTCTTGGGACATTTTTCGGCCTCTTCTGGGGGATCGAGGGGCCCTGTTGGAGCTCTTGGGTGGAGTCTTGGAGTCCTTTTGGGGTAATATTGGGCCCCATGGCTTAAAAAGAGGGGGAAGGTCCCGGGGGAAAGTAATTTAGGCTTTCCTTCCCCTTCCCCCGCTCGGAGGTCAAAAGACGGCGCCTTGGGGCCCTCTTGGGGCGCTCTTGGGGCGCTCTTGGGCGCTCTGGGAGCCCTCTTGGGCCCCTCTTGGGTCTCCCTTGGGTCCCTCGTGGGCCATCTTGAGGCCGCAAAGCCCATCGGAAGCGAAAATGCGATACGGCAAAATACCTCCATGCCATTCGGTTTTGGAAGAACCTTGGCCTCTATGGGCTGGTGCCTTCGAAGGCTCGAGGGATACCTGGCTCCTTCTTGGG